AACCAAGTTCGGTATGCAGACATTAATCGTCCTGTGCATCTGGATGCGGTTGCGTCTGTGAAGAAGGCAGCACAGGAAGCCGGGCTGTGGAGGTTTGTCGAAGCATCGCGCCATGGCGGCTTCAACATTTGACGGGGCGGGCGTTGGTAGTGCCTGCCTGTCTGCTTGTGTTGTGCCTGCCTACGTACCTCAACACCACAGCACACTCACACTGCCCTGGATGGCGGGGCCACCATCACGTCACCACCCGCCCTCAGGGCAAACACTCCTCTCCCCACGCACAGGCCCTCGTTCACCGCAATGGACGGCATTGCCTGCATCCAACACATTGTCCATGACCTCAAGGTGGACCGGGATACCTGGCAGGCAGTCGCTTGCCGGTACAAAGCTGCCTTCGAGGCCCAGACTGCTCATCTGCGCGAGCTTCAGGACGTCTGCTTCGCCACCCAAGCCGAGCTGGAGAATGAGCGAGCCCACCAGCATCGAGGCCACGCCGCCTCAACCCTGACTGACATTTCTCCATCCCGCCCCTCTGACGGCGTCGAAAGCCCCTTTGGCACTGCCATGATTTATTCCCTACATGGCGTTCGTGCAGAATGCTCGCAACCAGTCGCTGAAGGATGTGTCAACCCACTGTTCAATAGAGTGCACGAGTGTGCCCATCAGAGAAACTATGGCACTGCTCTTTCAGAAGTTGAGCAACTACTACGTGGTACCCTTAGTCCCAAGGCCCGCGCAGAGGGCCTCCTACTGAAGAGCAATATCCTCAGAGCATCAGGACCCGATGACATGTTTGACGCACTTGCCGTCTGCAGCGAAGCCATAGATCTTTGCAGCCGTCTTGCCGAACTGGAGAGCTTCCTACCCAAGATACAGCGCCAGCAGAATTTACTTCGCCATGATCTTCGTGCACTCCATCCAGCTTCCGATACGTTGAGCACCACTAGCAGCCATGACGATCTACTCTTGCATCAAGTGAGCGCCGTCCGCAAGTCTTACGACGACGAGCTAGACATGCTGTGTTGTGCCAAGCGCCGATCGGGCTTTGATGAGAACCGTACCATGGAAGGTCTGCTTGTGCAACTCGAGGAAAAGGCCACAGACGTACGCGGCGTTGCCTTGACCTTGGTGGTCTCCAACTCGTGCTAACACATCCAGAACAAACGTCGACGTACCAGTGCGCGACTCAGGCTGCGCGCTGCCGCCAAGGCGAGACGAATGCCTGTACCGTATCGTTGGGTCAGAGCGAGAAGCGAGGGATATCACCGTGTAAGCTGATCAGCAAGAGACTGACAGCAGTCGTGGGACTTGGTGGGCTTTGTGCGGGTACCGTTAGCGGCACAACCAGGAGACTAGCAGAATATCTATTCATCGTCTTAGCTTTACTCAGAAAATCAAATTCTCCAATTCCGGTTCATTTGATGCTCTCAATGGAATCATTGTTGTTCATTGTTGCATCACTGTACTCTTGGACAGGGGCTCTCTCAACGTCAAAGAAACGCATCTTAGAAGACACGTATACCGGGGCCATTATGTCCTAAAGGCATTGTTCTCTGGTGCTAAACGATTTGTGGATTTGAAGGATGCGTTGAACTTCGCTCGCTCGTTGCAGAGAAGATACTCTGAACCTCCTAATATGAAAACCATCCCAAACAACATGCCGTCTCCTGCCACTTCAAATCGTCCAAGTGCCTTGGATCAAGATACTTCCCCATCCAAAGCAAAGGGCCACACTATCCTCAACGATACCATGGATAAATGCATAGTTTCAGCCGACGATAGTACATCTTTCAACAAGAGTTCAGCATTTCACACATCTTCTCGAACTGCAAATCATCTCTCTCCGAGCGGTCGTCCGAACTCCATGTATGGCGCACCTCTTAACGAGACCCTTAGAGAACACGACACATACAAGAGTCGCGTGCGTCTAGTGCGGTTTCACTTGTTCATACTTCGCTGCCAGGTACTACAGTCTATGTCGGATATCCTGGAGCGCAAACCCCGAACGGATGAGGTCAAGTCAGATATACAAACAAACTATCGTAAGATCTACAGCTTTGCCTCCAAAGCCGGAAAGCTCACAGAAGGATTTGACGACACTACTTTGCAAGCACGCAGTGAGTACTGGGCTGGACGTGGTTGCGGCGGCTTGGGACACTGGCTGTCTGCCAAGATGCATTTTGGGAATGCAATTAAACTCGACACACCTGATAATGCGAACAATCACAACAACTTTCAGCATAGAGGACTACGTCCAAATGAACAGGCAGATGTACGTTTTCTGCTGCAGATTGTCACACAGCGCAACGATAGATGCGTTCGCAAGAGAGAGGAAGCCCGTAAGACTCTGAGTGAGCTCGAGTTTGAAGATGTTGATTGGGACAAGGAAGATATGAAAGATCATCGGTGGACACCCTACCGTGATTGCATGAAGCGCGCTGCAAAGCAACAGGTAGAGATATGTCACAAAACAGGCACACCCATGAACCATTTGCTCACCAGCGATGGCCAACCAGCAAACATTCTTAAACAAAAGGAGATAAACATGGTTCTGGAAAGACTAGCCAAGCGAGATGGCAAAACACTCCTCTGCATGACGCTCAACGCGGAAGAATGGCGTTACATTTTCCGCGGTGACGCAGCTATGGAGAAGGACAACCTTGGTACAAACGACACTGGCAGAGACAAAGCAGAGGACCATCTACCTGAGCAAATGGCTGAGCATTCTTCGCCTCCTTCGATCAACGCCTCTGTACAGCCATCACCTGAGATATCACGTAACCTGTGCGACGAACTGGAAGAAATTGAATACCAAAGTGGCGAGGAAACACCGGCTGTATCCTCCGCCAGTTTTACAAGTCATACTTACGCTGACGGTGAAGGAGATGTACCATCGTCATCATCACTGCCACCATCAGGAGGCTTACAAGGCCGAAGGAATATTACTATAGCACCCATTCACACCGATTACCGCAAGGAAGAATCGGCGCTGAGTAACGCGACGTTGAAATCGGAATTAGATTCAGAGGCGACGTCGGTACCAGCGAACGACAATTGCTCCCTCGAGGATGGCTTGGTTGAATCGCGGGCACCATGAAAAACGTGGAAGCGGGTCTACGAAAACTATGACAGCGGGTTAATTATTCTTGAAGTTAATTTAATACATAGTGTAGCTGGCACATCAAGCAATACAACAAGTACGCAAGTACAAACTAATATTTCGGTATGACTCTTCACTGTACCAATCCTCAGCAGCATTGAAACAAATCATCCATGCAGCGCCGGCAATGGGTGTATGACTCGACTGAAAGTCATCTGGATGCCCATGTATACGCGATACGAGATCGCGCTTTCGCTCATTGTGAACGGGCCCTTCCGCTGGTCTAGCGCGACCGGTTCGATCAAGTAGTGTAGTAGACGACTTTAATAAATAGTAGTTAACTGTTTAAATTGAGTCAAAGCCACCAACTAAAGTACCACCAAAATCTCGCACGTTCAATGCCTTTGGTCGCATCACTACCGACCGTTTTTTATAACTCTCTTCCGCGGATCGGCCTAGGAACCGCGTTCAGCGTATATTGCACATCAGACTTGAGAAGTTTCTTTGCATCTTTCAACGGAATCACCGGACCAAAGTACCATTTCGACGTGTCTCGCCGCTTCCCATCACTGCATTGTTTCTTCGTGTATGCGTATGCTGACACCAAGGCTGAAGAACACAGCTGAGTTATGGCATTGAAAACATCGGGTTCTGGAAATGTTGACGAGAAAAAGTATCGCTTGGCTCTCTCAACCTCAAACAGAACACGACTCGAGTCTCACGGCTCATGCCCCAAAGTGGATTGGACATTACTCGGACGCTTCTGGGCGGGACGTTGCCAAGCTAGTCCCGACTCAATGGTTTTGTTCACAACTGTTGTGAATGCTGTCTGGAATGCATATTCTTCGGTTGAGAAGTTACACAGTAGTAGAAGCCGGCGACGGTCAACATGTTCATTGAATAGTATGTAAGTTTCAAGTAGAGCACCGTCAGCAGCACCGTTCGTGAGCATTTCGGCTATTGGTAGAACTTGGCCGGCAATCCTACGAGAATTAGTACCACGCTAATACGTAAATTGTGTGAGATACGAATGTAGTAGTTAACCGAAGCGTTTACTAAGCGCCGCCCCTCGTGTTACACTAACTTGCAATTTCTCCATCTTTCCCACCACAGAAATGTAGTCAACGTGTTGTACAACATTCCATTGTTCACGCACCCCCCACATTATTCCATCCACTCTTCATCGGTGTTCGAATGCTCCAAATGGCAACCGCCCCCATCTTGTCCACAGGTCTGGAATGGCGATCTTCATTTCCGAGTTTCTCCCATTGGTGGTTCTTTTGGCGTCAAGGCGCAGCCAAGATTTCTTAACAGCATAGTCAATTGGCAACACCTCTACATGCTAGATTACCTTTCTACTCTAGGAATCATTCGGAAACAAGCTAACAGAAACCACATCCCACTCACGCACCTATAGAGAACGGTCGGCTTTTGAAAGGGAACGCCCCCCATTACCCCCTTGACACGTACCCCAGGTTTCCAAGCAAGATTAGGCTTCTAGAATCCCATCAAGTGGATACACACGAGACCGCCATGGCTTGACGTGCTTGGTGGATATTGGCGGTTGCCAAAAGGTCCTCCCCTAGAAGCCAAGCTTCAACTCGTATACTTGCGGAGAAACTGCTCATTGGGGAGCCCCGATGAGTAAATGGCTGCTCCACTGTTTGCACGGCGTCCGCTCTGTTAATCTTAACTGACATAGGTCGTGGTCGATTAAATGGGTGTGCTACAAGAATACATATCTTGTAGCTGCCCTCTCTGCCCTTTTTTTAGTAGGTTCGTTTGACATAACCGCTGGATCCTTGTATGTATCTCAACCCTGTTTTCGCAAGTCGATCTTTACATCCGGTATCTATTCTTCTTCGTTCACTTTTAGTCCATTCCTTGTAAAGACATCAAGATGCGTTTCTTCGAGGTTGCCACTGTGGCTTTGACAGCTGCTTCCACCGCCTATGGCGCCCCTATGGAGAAGCGCGCTGCCGCCGTTGACGAGCTTGTTGGTTTTGGTGCTGGCACCACTGGAGGAGGAAGCGGAGCCGGTACCACTGTCACCAACTGCGCCGGCCTGACTGCTGCCGCCAAGGTCGGAGGTGTCATCAAGATCAAGGGTACGCTCACAGGCTGTGGCATTGTTCGCTTCGACGTCCCCGGCACCTCCATCCTCGGTGTAGGCAAGGACGCCGGAATCACCGACGGTGGTTTCCGCTTCTACAAGACTTCAAACATCATTGTCCGTAACCTGAAGTTCCACCGTGCACCCGAAGGCAAGGACCTCATCGACATTGAGGCCACCACCAAGGTCTGGATCGATCACAACGACTTCTCCAGCGTTGGCATCACCGGCGACAAGGACAAGTACGATGGCCTCTTGGACGCAAAGTCTGGATCCGACTTTTTGACTTTCTCATGGAACAAGTTCCACGACCACGTAAGTTCTTCTTTACTATATATATATATATATAAATCGGATGTCAGTACAAAATAGAGCTCACACACCCGCTAGTGGAAGGGTTCCCTCGTCGGCCACTCCGACAACAACGGATCAGTAGACAAGGGCAAGCTGCGCGTGACTTACCACCACAACTCCTTCACGGCAGTCAACTCGCGTCTGCCGTCCATCCGCTTCGGCACAGGCCACATCTACAGCTCGTGCTTCAACGGCGGTGTTTCCGGCATCAACTCGCGCATGGGCGCCCAAGTGCTCGTCGAGTCCAACTCCTTCACCAACGTTGCCAAGTCAGTCGTTACCAACCTCGACTCTGACGAGGAGGGCTTTGCGACGGAGAAGAACAATGTTTTCAGCAACAGCCCTACCCAGATTACCAAGCAGGGCTCTTTCACCCCAAGCTACAAGTACACTGTTGACCCTGCGGCCAGCGTCTGCAGCATCGTGGCCAAGAGCGCTGGTGTTGGTGTTGTCACCTTCTAAGCTACTAACTGAAGCGTGTCACGAGGAATTGGGGCGGGGTTGTACACCAATTCTCGGGAGATGAGTTGGAACCTGATGGTGGTGCGACGTTGTTGATTTGTACATACAATATATTTTCTCTAGTATAGTTTTGAAAATCCTCTCATACAACGCGATATTGGCGCGCTGGAACAACCATGTCCATCCCATACAATTTCAAGCCCGAGTGTGTTTGCGAGCAGATACAATGTCGCATGATGATGATGGCATTTACAAGTTACTAACAAAGAAGAGGAAAGGTGGTTCATACACGCCAACGGTACCAAAACATTTAAAAAAAAGACGCAGGAAGGAATTGAATGATGATTTAATCAAATCATCATACTTTAAACATTGCACGATCGGGTATTCTTGACTCGTCTCTCTCCTCTTGCTGTTGTAACAACGTCGCGATGGCCATACACCATGTTCCTCACAACTCAACTATCTTGATCCAATATTGACACTCCCCCGACTCTCCGTACTTTCTCTCTCTCTCTCTCTCTCTCTCTCTCTCTTCGCCCTGTTTACTCTGCAAAGACCCAAACGACACTGAAGAGCACACAAATCAGAGCTACAATGACTATTACTTCAGGGCCGTTCTTGATGCCAACAGGCAAGCCCTCGGTAGTGAACTGCAGCACAATACCCTGGGTAAAGTTCTTCTCAGCCTCGACCAGCGCAATCTCAGTCCAGTTTCCACAGCGGGAGTTCAAGTCCCTGTCCGCGGTGAGGGCGGGCAGCTTGGCCATGGCTGCGTTCATCAGGGCGGCACTGGTCAGAGTGCCCACGTTTGCCTTTTGCATTACGACGGTACGGTAGGATCCATTAGCGCCGACAGTGGATATGTTTGCTGTGCGCTCGTAGTCGAGGCAGAGTTCTTGCTGGGAAGGGGTGACGGAGACTTGGCGGGTGTCCAGGTCATTGTTCAGGCGACCTGGGATGATGACATTTCTGGCCGAGGGGGTGGCAGCTGCCAAGTGGAAGATGGACAGGAGAAGAAAAAGCGGTGCAAAAAGTGAAGTGTACATGATAGCGATGTTGTTGGTTTCTTTCTTTGTTTTGGTGTGTCCTTTTTTCTTCTTTGTCGAGTTGGTTGACAATGAGTTGTGGCGAGACCGGCGAAGAAACGATTGTTGGTAGTGAATGAATGGAAGTCGGGTATTATGAAAATAGTAATGGCAAAAATGTGACCGGCACGCCTCGTAGAAGTGAATAGACCCAAAAGAAAGAAGGGAAGTAGTGGTTGGATGAGGTTTTGGTTCCGCTGCCTGAGGTATACCAAGAAACACGACAAGGGGAGAAGCGAAGAAAGGAAGAAAAATCAGGCCACTTGGACGTGATTTATGAGGCGACAATGGCTACGATGTGTGGTTGTTCTGACAGCACTGCGACGTGGAGCGCCGGATGTTGGGGCGTGCATGAGGCTCTTTGTGTGTCAGGATGCTCGGAGGATTATGATCAAGTGTACCTGGCTGGGCGCTACTAGCGTGTCTAAGTACATCGATGACGTGGTGAGCAGAGTGAGCGTGACATTGTTTAGATTTCGAGTGTGCACCAATTGTTGTGCGAAGCGCTGGCAGAAGACGTGAATTGCGCGTGGCGCCGTGGCTATTGGAATGTAGCGCGGCGCGATGGCTACGGGCGGTTGGATGGACGGGCGGCTGGGGGCGGGACATGGCCAGGGGCGCGTGTCATGCTCCTGCGCCTTGGTCTCTAGGCGAAAGCCCCCTCGGAACCATGACAGCCGCTGTCATGTCATGAGACCACACCACACCGCACCAGCCTAACCTCTCTGCCCATACTCATACTACTTACTTCATGGCATGAACGCGTCAAAGCTCCCGATATCGTCCATGTTGAACGTTTCCCACATCACCGTGTCCCAATCCTCGGTACCTTCGGCTGGAAATTGAAAGTCTCCTTCTCCCACACCCTCTAGTTCGTTGGCGCCATACGGACTCAAGCATTGCACTTGGGTGCTTGCTATCCTCTCTAGCAGCGGGACGCACACATCCAGGGCCCGTCGCAAGGCTTCTACCAAGAGCATTGGGAAATCTGACCGGTTGGCGCGACGTTTTGTCGCGTCGATCCATGCCTTGTGGAGACACAGCACAAGATAACCCTTGACGCCTGTTTCGCCAGCTTGATTGGTGTCCAAGGCCCAAGAAGCAGCCTGTTCAACCACGGCTCTCAGCGGGCTCGACATCATGTCTGCGTCCTCTTCATCGTCCTGTACTCGCATGGTCCACTCTTTCGTCAAGAACAACGAAGCATTGAAGGCATATTCCCGGAAGAAGCCCGACCCACACCGACATAGACGAGCTAGGTCCCTCTCGCCTACGGAACAAACACCGTCCGTACATACCGGATGCGCTAAATTACAAATCTTGAGCGACGACTCCACTGTGGCTTTTCGTGAGTACGCGAACCTTGGATCTTTGAGTCCAGAGGCAAAGAAGGGGAGGTGGAGGCAAGTCGTGTAGCGTTGCATCATAAACTCGACTGCCTGCAGCGTGAATTGTGACGGCAAATGGGCGCCAGAACTGTAGCCATGCAGTGTGCGGCGCAAGTTCTTGGACGCACTTCTGAGCATTCCATCAATGTGCAATGTCTCTTCGTACGTCCCACTTGAAGCGATTTCGTTTAAAAATTTGAGTATCGCAAGTCGAACTGGCAGTGTTTTCCGAAGAGCAATCGCCACTGATGTTTGCGTAAAGACTTGATCGTGCGCGGCGACAGGACCCGCCCCCAAAAGTTCTTCGTCATCAAAATTTCCTGGAGGCGCAGTATTGTATTCCTCTTGGGAAATTAGTGGTGGCCCACCAGACATCATGCTCATCTGCAACGATAACTCAAGTACCGTATTCCAGATCCGTCGGCGCATTTCTGCTTCCAATGTGGTCATTGTGGGAAGGTGAGAGGGATCCTTGTGCAGTCCAATATAGACCGCTGTTCGATACACGGCACCCAGCGAAATCCACACAAGGGCCTCGCCTACGCCAACAAATTCGCGTGCAAAGAGCAAAAGGATGCTGTTTTGCAGGTACTGGATGCCAAGTTGCGACTTGAATGAGGGCGAGGACAGCCATGTTTGTGCTTCGTACACCCAACGTGTCGCTTCAGCCCGCAAGGACATGTTGTCATCGTAAAATGTGGCACCGATTGCTAAAACCAGTTTGAGCATCACTACAAAGGACATGCTCGGAACTGTGTCATTGGTCCACATTTCTTCGTATGCACGCTGGAAGCTTGGTATGTGTAGGACCCGGTATATGGTCTCTATGGTACGAAGGTATGCAGCGACAAGTTGGTCGCAAAGTGGCTTGGGTGGCAAGTCTCTGCATGGCTGAGTAGGCCAAGTTGGAGAGCGGCTCGCTTTGATAACACGGGCTAGCTTTTTAGCTCGTTGTAGGTCAGCGACACAATTCATTTCTCCGGCTCGAAGATGCGGTTCAATCATCTCAAGCATTTGACGAAACTACGCACATTGTTAGCAGTTGAGTACGCTTTGATCTGAAGCATGGGGTTTGCACCATGACGAAACCGTTCATCCAATGGCTTTGCCCAAACACACGGTTTTTATGCGCGATACTCCGAGAGATAGAAGCACCGTTGGGTGACCGGGTATCTTCAAGAACATCTACAGTTGTCGCCAGGCAGCTGAAAGTCCGCACAGAATGTGTCGAAGCTGGAGTGGAAGCAGCGTCCGAAAACGGCGAGTTGGTGGTAACACTACTAGCACGAGACAGTTTATCTTCCAGTTCAGTGATGCGAGTTCGCATGGCTTCTAACTCAAACGCAGCATAGTTGCTGCCGTCTGTAGGGTGCTCTGTAGAGGATGAGCTACTTGTAGTCGAGACTCTTGAAGGCATGGTGGAGCCAACGATTGGTCCTGGTACATCGTGCTGTGGTTGAATGCACGACAGTGCTCTTTTATCCAACCTCTGATCCAGAGATAATTGAGTCTCGTATACGCAAGACCCTGTCTTTGACCTCATACAATTGCTGCATGGCGTCTCTCTGTTACACCGTACCTTTCTTCTGCGGCAGAGGGTGCAGGAGCTGAATATGGTTAGCGCCAGTTGTAGCCGCCGAGACATGAGCGACCTACACAGTGGGTCTTTTACGTGAGCGAGGGCCCTCAGCCATGTCTTTGGCAAAACCTCTAATTGCAGTGTGGAGTGCCTGAATATTGTCATAGAGGATGGAAGCTCAAGTGGGGTCACGGAAACGTAAGTGAAAGCGGAGATAGGTACTTATGATAGTTCGGTCATGCCTAGTAGACTTTCGCATGCTCGGAGATATTGGCCAATCACATCACAGCCGACTTTCTTATCTCCGACATAGCAGATCTCGTCTACTGTATCCAGCATACCCAAGATGAGATTACATGGATAGGTAGCTTGGCAGCTTTTATATAGTTTGTATGCGGTACAGTAGGTGGGCCACTGCTTGACCGGTTTGGTGTCTGGGTAAGTGAGCTCGATTTTCCTACAGATAGCAGCGAGCAAGCATACGCAAGAGTGAAAGATTACCGAGCCTTATGCTTCCGAACACGACAGATGCATCGACCGTTAGCCTTTGCCTATTTCTCCGTCTCATGAGGATCAGTCTGTGTGACAAGTACTGTCAATTCATTCTCATGCAATTCATCCTCATGGGCAGCAACGCCGTTTTTCTGCAATTTCCTACATTCGTCGTCAAGTGACATTACCTCGCTAAACGGCGTGCAGTAGCCCTTGGAATTGTGGCTTCTGGGAAGGTGATTAGGTACATATTGCTCGTAGCAGCGCTAGTCTCCATGATCATGATGTGTATGGATGGCCTTCTTCCATATACATATGTATGCTGTCAGAAGAGGAGCGACTACACTGCAAGCATTCTATCTACTCGCCGTGGTCAACGGGTCGTCAACCTTTAGACACATCATTCCCAGAATACCAGCTGACAAACTAGGCCGACTCAATATGTTTGCTTTTGCAGGCATTTCGACGGAAGGTGTCATGCTTTGTTTCAATGAGCCGCATACAAACGTAGGTACCGTTGTCTTTTCCGTCTTCTTTAGTTTCGTCTCGGGGACAATCATCTCAGCTGGAACTGCGGCTATCTCAACCCGCACCCAGAATCCTCAAAACATCGGCACGCATATGGGCATGTACATTGGTACCGCAGGGTTTACTGTCTCGATTGGTCCACCCGTTAACGGCGCCCAGGTCGACAATTCCAGTGGTTTCGAACAAGTGGGGATTTTCAGTGGCATTGTTAGCCTAGTTGGCGACGTCCTTATGTTGAATAGGAAGCTCGTCACTAATAGAGGGATTCTGGGTAAAGTGTGAACAGAAGCTATAAATCGGGTCTTCTTAGAAAATCCGCTAGAAGAGATGTGCTGGCCCATTCTGGGGGATGGAGAGGGGAGCCGTGACTGGGGAGAAGCAAGCAAGTAAAAGAGGGACGAAGGAGATGCAACACATTGAAGTGGTGTTGGAATAGATTGGTTATTGCGTTAGTGGTCATCGAGATAAGAAAGGAAACTCGTAAACAGGCCGGATATCAAAGATGAACCGTGTCCCTCTCACTATTGCCCACTACAGGTCCATGATAGAACGCCTAACACCCAACCATCACTCAAGATATCTGCACGATTGCTCCTCCAGGTTGCAATACCTATAAGCACATGTCGTCATCACATCCAGCTTTTGCTTTGCGTGGCACAGTGGACGCTAGGGCAAAAGGGGCCAGGGCAAAAGGGGCCTCTGAGTGGTCTATGCGGGTATGGGCTCGTAGGTGTTGTGTGCTTGGCGGTTCGAGAAGAGGTAGTAGATGATCATGCCGACAACAGGAAAGAGGAACACGACGAGAGCCCAGATGACCTTGTTGGGCACGGGGCGGTTCGACTTGAAGATCTCAACTGTAGCACGGACGGGTCAGCACGATTGTGGCAGCCAGATGGGTCTATTCTCCGAGAAGGTAGAGCAACACGACTCGAGACCAGTGAAGGAAGGATACTCACTCCATGCGATGATATCGAGAACAAGAACAATGAATCCAACGATGCCTCCTCCGGTACCAGCTTGCCATGGCTCGGCTTTCTGCACGGTAAGAGGAGCTGCTTCAGCCAGCATGAACATGGAGAGCTGAAGAAGCAGGGTGAGGACAATGTTGAACATGTTTGCGGTGTTGAAGTCGGTGTTGGATATGAGTGGGAGTAGTGCAGAGTGTCGGGGTGTATCAACGTAGTATGCAAGTAAGAATGAAGCTGTAAAAACCAACTGCTGCCTGGGCTGTATTTGAAGGAAGCATGGAGCGGGGGGCTGGACTGTTTGATGTTTGGCACAGACCTACGTCACTGGAAATTCCGCCTTGTTGCGTCACGCGACCCTTCCCCAACCCAGCCAAGCTGACTCTGCATCTCCATCCTACTATGGATTCCCATGGTTGCGTTCGTCAGACGCACAACTGCACGTCTCCTATCTATGTATGCACGTATGTAGTGTCTACATATGTGCTTTGCCCCATCTTGTCGGTCCAAGCTGCTGCAGCAAAAAAGAAACGATCAACAACGCGCCGGAAACGCGCCTCGGTACAGCCCAAGCCTGGTTATGCCTGCAAAACACTGGTACCACCACCACCAGAGCCGTTCGATCGGCGATCCTGTTCAGGAAAAGATCAGCTCCGTGTTGAGATGTCTCGAAGAGCGAGAGTAGTAGAGCCCTTGGGTGCTGTTTCGCAGCACCACATCCTCAATCCCCATACGGTCTCTTATACATGTGCGCCATACATACATCAAGGAACAGCCACCTGTCCCCACTTCGACTAGCTGAACAGATTCAACAACGCTCTCGAATCCGAGCATGCGATGAGTAAACTGCAGAATGGCAATGCGCAAAACGCCACGGAAATGGTGCCATGGCCACGGTACTCGACCAGAACCACACCGCATCAGCCGCTCCGAGGAAGCAATAAGTAGTGCCGCTTCTCCTTGCAACCAAGACATACAACATGAAGCAACGCTGGCCTTTCTTCCCCTTCTTCCTCATTCCTTTCATCATTATCCTCTCTTTTGACGTTCTTGTCGCATTTCGTTGCTCTTCTTCACCAAGATCTGGCCGACTAAGCTACGGACTCATCATGGCCTAGTACATGATGCCAGTAGGCACATTTCCCCTGTTAAGATGCGTGCCTCTGAACATTCCTGTGTCTTCAAATTGTGACCAAGAAGCACTTTCACGAACAAGTTGCAGTCGCGAAATAGCCCCAAGATGGAAGACTGACCCTAATGATATCCCACCCTCCAGTCAGAGGGAAAATTCGATTTGCAAACGCGATACGCAGACACCAGTACGCCGATTTCTGGGCGCCATGAAACCATCAAAAGCAACAAAGCAGTCTTCAGCATTGTCATGGCATCGTGCTGCCCATTCGCCAACACCAGACCGGCCTCTCATCGAACCTTTCTCTAGAGATCCGAAGTATGCAGGCAGCACAAAGCACACCAAAGCAGGTGCAGTGGTCTACGATGCTCATGAGTTCGATCCGATTGTTCTACCCCTCCACTATCATTCCCGTTCACAGTCTCTTCAGCATCAGTTCCTCCAGGTCACATGCCGCTCCGATGACGAGAAAAGTGATGGCTCTCCTCCACAATACGCGGCGCTCGACCCCAATCCTTTCTCTGGCACCGCAGAAAACAGCCATGATTTACCAAAAACACATAAACCCATCACCAAGCATAAAAAGGGTCTGAAATTCACGGCCAAAAAAATGAAGATGAATGTGCTCAGAGTAATCCAAGACATACCTTCGACGGCTAAAGTGGTTCATGCTCAAATGAACTCAAAACTCAACAAAAGAAACAGAAACATGAGTGTAGAGAACATTGGGTTGTATGGAAAGCTCGCCGATCGAGATGGTGAAGTCAAGAAAAAGCTGCAGGACGTGGGGTATATTAGCCGATAGACAGGTCGAGAGGCATTGTTTTGTTCTGGATTTACATGGCGTTGAGTACATGGAGAAGCGCGTAGTCTTTTCGGAGCGTGGAGTTTGACTTCAATACATCAAGACAGCATTTGGTGAAAAAAGAACAGACGGTCAATGGAACAGCTCGATCTCGGTCTCTCATATACTGAATACAACATCAAAACAATCCCACTTTGATTAGGAGGCGTCTCCTTACCATCCTGGTCATCCTTCAGCCATCCAATCGTTGCTTTGACCTCAACAGCGGGTACGTTCTACTGTTGAAAGTGGTCGAACCTGCCCCGCTCGCTAAGGGTAGAGGGCAGCAAACGCTATCTTACAATATAGGGTCATTTAGCAACTACTGTCTTGCAGGGATTGTTGGTCGTTATAGATATGAACTCATCTACCGAGCCGTTGGCTTACCCTGGGGCCCAAGCCCGGATAGTCAATGTTGCCCCGTGGCAGAACGCTCCATGGTGGCTTTTCTTAAACATCGTAACTCCTTCAAGATGCCGCATGCGCCAACATGGCTCACAGTACGTTATTCCGCGGTAGCATATTGCACAATGTGCGCATGCAAAAGAAGCACGATACCGCGCGACATTAGGAACATACAAAGGCAGATGACACAGGCTTCGCTAAAATGGATCCGCTTATCCAATTAATGCTGCCGACGATGCTCTTTACTACCACATACCTTGAAAGAGTCGAGCCAGTTTCTTAAAGCAGGGGCTCTTGGATACAAATACAGGGTGTACGCGGGAATACAAGGGCCATCTTGGACTCTTCGCATGCAGGATCAGCGTAAGATGAATTGCTGGCACGGAGCACTATGCGGAGCAACTTTCATCGCATTGGATATTGCGGCACTCGGAAAGCAATACGTCTTCTGCAAGTTTCCCGTCGCTACCTGCTTGTTTAGAGCATACCCCACTACGAAGGTTGCTTAATGTGTCTCGAAATCTCGCGGTGCAGCTCATCATCGAACGTCCTGGCGGCCGACGCTCAACGTCTCGCCACGAAACCCTGACCTTCCATGCTTCAAGGCTTGCCGGTTAATAGCGATATTGCGGCAAGTTGCGTGTCAACAGTATTGTCAGACACGAGGCCCCTAAAGAGCATGCATCAGCGCCATGACATGGGGCATAGACCTGGCGTTCGGATACACGGACCATTGAGGAGCGAATCAACCGCCACGACCAACCACACCCAAAACTTTATGGGAAACCTAACTATGGATATCGGGTAGACCAGTCACGCCTATCTTCTCACTCAGACATGTTACTCATCACCATCAGGTAAAATTCCAGAATTCATGTCAGGCCATGGACAACCACCCAATCGCCCGTGATACCGAATGCCTTATCGTCTGGGGATGCCGCTATACCGCTTCCATCCCCTGCCTTATCACCCACCCAAGGTCCCTGCATCCACTGCTTTCTACACGCCCCGTTTTAGGCCAACACTCGCTTTCAGGGCTTGGGAACTTGGGATACGTGCCTCGGCGCGCTTGACTTCTTTGCCCTCAATCTCGGCTTGATCCCACGAGCCTAATCCAGCGGTGCAGGCCTTGCGCTCCACCAACTGCGCTCCGCTCCTTCGACATTGGACTCAGAATGCCTTCCTTATCTTTGCCAAGACCGTATTTCACTCGACGTTTGAGGCACAGCGGCCTCGGGTATGAGTGTGGAAAGAGGTCATGGACCGGGATCAACAGCGTATCAATCGCGGCCCTTTGTGGGGTGCGGCAAGCCATCGAGTGATATGCCCCGAAGTATATGTACGATCCTGAGTACTCTTTTGCGCGCTGGATCATCCGTCCCATAATTTGTCTTGAGGCTCGACTTTTACAGCAAAACTCGAGGTCTCTACACCATGGAGCCAGCATCAGCCGTAAGTGAGATCAGTAACGGCTTCTTCAGTCGTAGACGGGACAACTGACACATGGACAGCCAGAGTTTGACCCGGCGAAGCCCAATGGCGGCAACCCGGACCAAGAAAATGTCAACCTCCAGTATACTGGACTGGAGTTCCATTACGTCTATTTGATGATAATGGCCTTCCTGGTCTTCCTGATCATACCAGGAATCGGTTTCCTATACTCTGGTCTTGCACGCCGCAAGTCCGCCTTATCGTTGCTCTTTCAGTCGTTTGCTGTGATGGGCGTGTAAGTTCAACGACGGTCCATTCGTTGTAGCCAGGCTTGCTAACAGTGTAAAGCGTGACTTTTCAGTGGATGTTCTGGGGCTACTCTCTCGCCTACTCGCGTACTGCTAGCCCATTCATTGGTAACATGGCCAATTTCGGTCTCAAAGATGTGATGTCTGCACCATCACCTGGATCTCCACTCTTGCCAGAGATCGTCTTCTGTAAGCGATATATGTCCAATCAGCTAATACATGGTATACTGAATGATCATGTAGGTTTGTACCAACTATTGTTCTGCGCGTGTACTGTGCAGCTCGTTATCGGTGGATCTTTTGAGCGTGGACGTATTCTACCATCCATGGTCTTTGCCTTTTGCTGGGCAACCATTGTCTACTGCCCGATTGCTTGCTGGACCTGGAACGCGTATGTTAAATTCGACAACAGATGAGTTATATCACAGCTAACAACTCAATAGCAACGGTTGGTTGTTTAATCTCCCCTCCCTCGACTTTGCCGGAGGTGGCCCTGTCCACATCGCATCTGGATGGTCTGCACTCGCGTATGCCTTCGTCCTCGGCAAGCGTCTCCACAAGGGTGACAAGATCCATGGAAAAGCACATAACCCCACACTAGTCTTCATAGGTACCGTCTTTATCTGGTTTGGATGGTTTGGCTTCAACGGAGGCAGTGCGCTCAATGCCTCCGTCCGCTCCATGGTAGCTGCCTTCAACACGAACACTGCCGCATCTTTCGGTGTGCTTGGCTGGGTCATGGTGGAGTACGTCCGCACCAAAGGACACTTTTCCGTTGTTGGTGCTTGCTCAGGTGCCATCGCTGGACTCGTAGGGATTACTCCAGCAGCAGGATACGTCTCTCTCTGGATCGCCGCACTTATCGGCTTCCTTACCGGTGCCATCTGCTCTCTTTGCCAAAATGTCGACAAGTGGATCAAGATCGACGAGGGCATGGACGTCTTCAAACTGCACGGAATCGGAGGTATGGTCGGATCTTTCCTCACTGGTATTTTTGCGCAATCATGGGTCTACGATCTTGACGGTATGGGCCCTTACGATGCTCTTGGTGCCATGGATGGTGTCGGCGTCCAGGTCGGGCGTCAGCTCGCTGAGATTGTTGCGATTGCATCTTACTCGTTCGTCGTCTCGTGCATCCTTTTGTACATTCTCAAGTTCATCCCGGGCATGCACCTTCGTGTTACCTCAGAGGCGGAGATGATGGGCCTGGACCTTGACCAATTTGGAGACGAGCAAATCGGTGACTGGAGTTTGATGGAGCAGAACCACTATGAGGCAAATGCTAGCAGCGCGAGCAGTCACAACTCACCAGCAGCAGCTGTTGGCAAGCAGGCTTAGATGGCGTAATGCATTAGATCGGGTTGCTGTAAAGAGCAATGTGGAGTTCGGTTTGCTACCGAAAATAGCTTGGATCCTCGGTTCCTAGTTGTAATGCTTTAGAATAAACCAGAATCATTTTTAGAAGTAATGTAGATCGATCCCGTTCACTTTCAGTGAGCCAGTGCGAACACATTCAGGGTATTCCAATTTTGTGCCGCATACATGGTATTCATAGTAAAGCAGTTCTAGACCAGTACGCACGTAGTGAACCTTTGAAGTAATGCAATAAACCGGTGATGAAATGCAACATGATGTGAACGATGATATGAACAATGACTAGTCGAGTAGACAGGACGATGGTGGAGGATTAGAACGCCTGCTCGTGAATGGTGATAGCATCGCACGGACCTCGCGCTAGTCGGGCCGACGCCATTGGAAAGTTCGCACCAGCACACCCACATCTCCACCACGCGCTGCATCTGGATCACTCGTCTCATGTCGGCGTTTAAATTTGCTGGGCCACTATTGCGGCTGACATGCCGCATATCTCGAGCGCCGAGGCTACCAAAATACCGTCACCTTCCTAATCAGCTGCGTAGCTTTTCCGAGACGCGTGCACAACGTGTACCACAAAGAAGAGCGCCAAGGCCTTCCAATGAACAATCACACGTACCGCAAGACACACCGGAAATTTCAGAGAATCTTGTAAAGGAACACCCAACAGTTCGTACCGATGGAGGCAGTCATTCTCCAGCACCAGAGTTAGATCAAGATGCGATCCTAGAGCAACTCAAACATATCAAGGTCCGATACTTACGGCCGGCCATATGGGCTATACTTGTATCGAGTGGAATATTTGTCGGCCTTTCCTATTTGGAAGCTAAGAGAGAGCTCAAAGATCATTCTACATATGCTGGAGGATGGCTTCCAAAGCCGCAATGGGCCCTTCCTCGGCGCACTGCACCAACTCCAACTGAAGTTGCTACTGAAGCGTGGAACAGCCTGGATCCTATCTCAAGAATCACATACGGAATCATTGGAGCCAACAGCGGGATTTATCTGAGCAGCTTCATCATACCTCAGACATGGGATACGCTCTGGCATCTCCCTATCCGCAATGTTAATTACACCCAGTTTACGTCCATGTTTGTACATTCTGGAGCGTTGCATTTCTTCGTAAACATGTACTTCTTGAACAACTTCATGAAACCAGTTGGATATTCCCGCCTTTTTGAGGGTAGTCCATACCATACCTTGTCTTTCTTCTTATCAGCCGGTGTGCTGTCTGGTTTCGCGCAGCATTGGTCAACTTTGATACCCATCCAGAAACGACCCATCCCCGAGATTTTCATCCGCTGCGGAGGAGCTTCGGGTGCGCTCTTTGGAATTCTCGGTGTCTTCTGCATGCAGTACCCCCATGCTGGACTAGGAATCTTGTTTGTACCTGTGCATTTCGAGGCTCAACATGTGCTGCCCGCCATCATGCTTTTTGATTTT